TTACCACCCAGCTGAATCAGGGGCGACAGTCCTACTGTCAGTAAAAGGATCGTGCAACGCTATACCCATATCACCATATGGGCTTCGGAAGCCGTAGACCCACGAGAGTATCTTTGCTGAATGCATGCCATCGAGCAGCACTTCTTGCCTGGGCAAGAGAATACACAGAATAGACTCTAGTGGACCTTGAAATGAGTAGCAAGGAGTGATGAGTATCAATTCGAACTAATAAATACCGATGGGAGGCTGAGAATATGGCGTCAGACTCAAGCCATGAATCCTGTATGGCAGATTGGAACTGTACAAGGCCATGGTGGCTTAATCATTGTCTGAGATGTTTTCTCTTGGCAGTGTTGGGATCTTTGGTACTTGTACCAACCTTCCTCAATATGATTTGGTACGTAGAGTTGCTGGGCGATCATCTCCATCCATTTATGTTGTTCTGTTTTTCACACGGAAATGGAGTATCCCAGCAAGATAACTGCACCTCTCACAGATCCCGGTCGGCTACTGTCTGGTTGGATGAGCATTCTTCTGACTTCTCTGTCATAAATTTTCTACTTAAAAGTTCTGACTGAAATTCTACTAAGCATCATTCGGATGTTTTGGAGAAAGGTTTGAAACCTTATCACACAACACTAGCGACTCTTCCTAAATTATAGACAGCTCTATCCGGTGTTTGGCAAGCAAATTCCCGTAGAATGCTTCCCGAAATTTATTGAATCTGTGCTTCGTCGTTTGAAAGCCATTATAAAAGTCAGAGGAGGCCCAACTCGTTATTGACTAGCTATCTCTAATTCAGTGGTACTTCAGTGTATTTATTTAGCCGTGTAAAGAGAAGAAAACAGAAAAATGTTTACTTGGCGATGGCAAGCATTAAAAAAAGGTAGATTTCAATTTGAAATTTTACAAACAAATGCATAATTCTTAATTTTCTCAAGCGAAAGTGTGACTTCTATGTCTCACGTGACACAGGACATTGGGTTTTAATGATGTCAACCTGTGTGGGATTGGATGGAAATTATACTAGTGGCAAAAATTTCGAGATAATCTTCACGAGTAAAAATTAAAATGTCAAGAGCATTAATTTAGCAAATAGTACCTTATTATTAGCTTCAATATTTAATCGAAAATACAACCCTTGGACTATGACATATCACTTAGATTTCAGCATAAATTTTAAGAAATCCACAAAATATGTGTTAATATTTGATGAGGACCCGGCTCTAACTAAAGTGAAAGGCAAGCTACCTAATTAAATAAAATATTTTACTATAGTAGAAAAGGAAGAGTCAGAAGAAAGTAATGATACATTATAAACTGATTGTTTTCAAGCATACCAATAATCAATGCAGTAGATGCGGACCGAAACTGAAATCACTTAACTAATCCTGGATATTATTATAAGACCAGTAATTTACTGTTCTTGATGTCTGTGCATTTACTTCATAGATGATTGCCCAGGGGTTTCAATAAACTAGTCCTATTTATACTTGAATATTTAATGAAACCACGAATAGTTTCTACACACTATGAAGTGATTACATGCGTAGATGGAAATAAATGAGATTATTTAAAGATGTATATAAGTTTGCATCTTAGAACGTAGTGTCGTGAAAGCGTGTTTATCTTAATCGCGTCATCATCTTAATGGTGAAATCGTCTGTCTTCTGTCACCAGAAAAAAAAGGAGTTCTTAAACACAGCTTGCAGTGCCATATGATTGTTGTAGACGATGCCATTCTACATTATAATTAACAGTGGTATATTATAATTAAGAAAGGCAACTATTATAATTAAGAGTGGTTGACAGTTATTATTAGTAGTGGTTCTGCGATTAATATATACAATAATCACCTGTGTAGTTTATTTAAAATTTAAACACTAAAATTATTCGATATAATATGTCGAGATCTCCCATAGAGGGCATTGTAGCACCCCTCAACTGTGTGAGAAAAGTTTCGATTTGAGAGAGAGTTGGCGTGGGTTTTGAGAATGTAGTGTGAAGAGCTGTGTAACGCGTATTTGCTATGTAACTGTACTATGTACTATAATGTAATTAAATGTATTTATTTAAAATGTGGAGCAATTTTGAAGGAGCATACTTCACATTTTTTTGGAGCCACCAGTGAGAAAATGTCGGTCTTGGAGCTGTGGATTCTAGTGGTTTAGTTGCAAGCTTTGTTTGGGAATTTTTGGAATTTTGCAGGAAGTGAAGGTAGGCTATGTTTTGTTTGAAATTTGAATTGTTGTAAAATGTCGGAATTACCTAAGTTGAGAAAGGAGCGTAGCGCAGTTAGGTCTACGTTAACTAAGTTAATTAACAAAGTTGAAGCTTTTATTAAGGAAGATTCTACCGAGATAGATGTTACGAATAAGGTAGGCACTTTAAAGGAATTTCGAGCCCAAATAATAGATAAGGAAACTAATTTAAAACGATTAAACGATGAAGTGAAAAATCTTTGTAATTGTGATGATATAGAAGAGGAAATTACTGTGTCAGAGGAATATTCAGAAAAAATTATCCTCTGAAAACAAGATAACTAATGTAATTGATGGATTAATGAAAGATGAAATGAATATTAGTAACGTATCCTTTTCTATTCCCGCAACTGATCAAGGTACACTAGAAAACCAAACCTTTAGAGAAACCAAAACAGTTAAACTTCCTAAATTGATAATCAGTAAATATTATGGTGATCCTGCTTCTTGGTTAGAATTTTATAACCAGTTTGAAAGCGCTATTCATAATAACAGTAATCTTACAAAGATAGATAAATTTAATTATTTAAGGTCATATTTAGGGGGTACGGCATCTAATTGTATAAGTGGTTTCGCGTTAACAGAAGAAAATTATGATGCTGCTTTGGATATATTAAAAGGTAGATTTGGTAATAAGAATACTCTTATACAGACACATTTGAATGAGTTACTTAAAATTCCTATTATTAGAAGTATAAATGATTTAGCTGGATTGAGAAGGTTGTTTGACAAAGCTGATACTCAAATTAGAAGTTTAGAGTCGTTAGGAGTTGAAACAAAATCTTTCAGCACTTTATTGATTCCCATTTTGTTAGAAAGAATTCCAAAGGAACTCGTTTTAGAATTCAATAGAGCGTATCCAGATAGTGATTGGAATTTTAAGGATTTATTTACCTTTCTAGACAAAGAGATAGCGGTCTAGGGAAAGGACATATTTATTTAGTTGCAAAACTGAAAATTATCATAATTTGGGTAATGAATATAAAAGTAATTCTAGGAAATTTGAAAATAAAAAGCTTAACACTAATAGGAATATATCAACTGCTAGTTATACTACAAATGTTAAAAGAAACTGCATTTTTTGTAATAGCAAAGAACACGAATTTTGCGAATTTGAAAGTGTCGTAGAAAAGAAAAATAGATTAAAAAGACATAATCGATGTTTTCGCTGTTTCTCAAAATTCCATTTAGCGCGATTCTGTAAAACTAAACTCGACCCATGCAAGAACTGCAACAGCTTAGCTCATAACTCCTTGCTATGCGAAAAAAGTCATAAATCAGCTGAAGTCGAAGGGGGAAAAGAGAATTCAAACGCGGTGACTCAGTGCAGCTCCTCTCAGCGGGGGTCAAATGGCAGGGCTTTACTGCAAACTTGTACTGTCTTGGCTTGTTCGAAAGGAAACTTTAAACTATGTCGGGTGTTAATGGATAACGGAAATGAAAGATCTTGGATAATAAAATCTTCCGCAGATGCCCTTAGCCTTAAAACCATTCGAAAGGAAAGATTGTCAGTTTATTCTTTTGGGTCTACGAAAGTCATAAATAAAACTTACAGTGTAGTAAAATTAACATTGAGAAATAGGAACGATCCTAAGAAATATATTGAGATAGAAGCATTAATTACTGAAATGATTACTACCGCACCAATTGCATTTCCCAATATAAATATTCAAAATATTTTTGAGCAAAAGGGTTTAAATTTAACTGAGGCATGCATGGATTCAGATGAAGGTATTCACATTTTAATAGGAGCATATTATTTTGGGGACGTCATTAAATAGTCGAAAATAGAAAAAATAACCAAAACGCTAAACTGCATACAAATTATTTTTGGCCTTACACTCCAGGGCATACAAAATAATTCTGAGGATGAAATTTGGGGAAACATAGTATCGACAAATTTTTGCGTTGGCACTGATATGCAGATGCTATGGAATTTAGAATCGTTAGGAATTACAGATTCTAATAAGTTATCAATTGCAGATGAGAATTTGATAAAACAATTTGAAGATAATTTGAGGTTTGTAGATGGAAGATACGAAACTTGTTTGTTATGGGGAATAAAGCCAACGGATTTAAAAAATAACCTTTGTCTTGCTAAAAAAAGACTTGAGGACTTAAAAAACAATTTCGAAAATAATGAGTGGTTGGCGAATGAATACAAGGACATAATAAAAGATCAACAAAATAAAGGAATAATTGAAGAATGTTCTAGGGATGAGAAGGAATATTTCATGCCACATAGAGCAGTTGTGAGAACCGATAAGGATACTACTAAAGTTCGCGTGGTTTTCAATTGTAGTTCGAAAGCGAAACTAAATCTCTCTTTGAATGATTATTTAGAGATTGGGCCAAATTTGAATCCTAGTGTACTGGATGTTATTTTAAATTTTAGGAAATTCAAAATTGCATTTGTGCTGATATAGAGAAAGCATTTTTGATGAATTGAATTTCAGAAGAGGATAGGAAATTTTTTAAATTCTTGTGGTTATCAGAAAATGCAAATGAAGACTACAAAATAATGCGTATGACACGTTTGCCGTTTGGTTGTAAGTCATCACCATTTATTTTAAGTGCAACAATAAAAAAGCACTTAAAGCAGTACAGGAATAATAAACCCGAATGTGTTGAAATGTTGAACTCTTCACTGTATGTAGATGATTATATTTTGGGGGAAATAGTGTTGAAGAGGCATTTAAGCTGTCTTCTGAAGCTGTGTCGATTTTAAAGGATGCAAGTATGATTTTGCGAAAATTAAAAACTAATTCTGAGAAACTGAGGTCATTGTGGATGCAGAATGGACTTAGCCATGATACTTGTACTTCTGATTGTCAGTTGAAGGTTTTAGGCTTGAACTGGAACCCAGTAAATGATAAATTTTCTTTAGATATAGCAAGATTAATGGATAGTTTAAAGAGTTTGAAGAGCACAAAGCGTTATGTCTTGCATGTTGCAGCAATGATTTTTGATCCAATTGGTTTTGCAGCTCCATTTGTAGTTAGGATTAAGTGTTTGCTACAGGAAATTTGGGAACGTGGTATTGGTTGGGATGAGAAATTGCCAGATGACCTTAAAATCAAGTGGACTAGCTGGTGTTCTGAGGTTAAATATCTGAAGGATATTTCAGTTCCGAGAAATTTATTTGTGTGTTGTGATAACTTAAATTCAAAAATGGAAATACACGTATTTTGCGATGCGTCTCCTATAGCTTATGGTGCTGTAGCGTATTGTCGTTACTTAAATGATAAGGGTGACATTTCCGTGTCATTTGTCATGTCGAAAAGCAGAGTAGCTCCTTTGAAGAAATTGACGTTGCCACGATTGGAACTAATGGCAGCAGTCATAGGAGCTAGAATAGGAAAGTATCTGGGAGAGGTTTTTAAGGATCTTATTGATAAATTTGTGTATTGGACTGATTCCTTAATTGTCTTGTTTTGGATAAAGGGTTCTACGAAGCAATGGAAACAGTTTGTCGGTAATAGAGTGGTTGAAGTGCAGGAAAAATCAGATCCCAGGTCTTGGAATCATTGCAGTGGAAGGGAAAATCCTGCTGATTTAGTTAGTAGGGGTGTGCCAGCTCAATGTTTGTTGGAAGGTGATCGTTGGTGGTGTGGTCCATATTGGCTAAAAAGAAAAGATAATTTTTTCCCTAAGCATCCACTGAAGGATATCCCACTGGAAGTAGTAGAAACTGAGAGAAAGGGATGCGTTGTGCATACTACTGTGATTAAGAATTTTGTGATTGATGAACTGCTTCATAAATATTCTTCTTGGACAAAACTTTTACGAGTTATAGCTTGGTGTCTCAGATTTATTGCCAATGTGAAACGGTCATCAATAACAAGGACAAAATCAAATTTTCTCCAGACTGGAGAGCTAGCCGTAGCACATTCTTGGGTAATCAAGTCTGTGCAAATGCAAGAATTTAGTGAAGAAATCGATCATTTGAAAAAGAGAAAACTAGTGAGTCCTCGCAGTAAACTCAATATGTTGAATCCATTCTTAGACGATGAGGGTATTCTAAGAGTGGGAGGACGACTAAGAAATGCTAGCATCGCACAGAATGTAAAATATCCAGTCATTCTGCCTAAATCACACTATATTACAGAACTGATAATACGATATTATCACTATAAATATCTTCACGGAGGAGCACAAATGCTCCATTCAGAAATCAAGCAGAGATATTGGATTATTAATGCACGAGCAGCCATTCGCAAGATCATTCGTAAATGTGTAACATGCTGTCGACACAGAAGTGAGCTGTCATATCAAGCAATGGGCGATCTTCCAGCATCCAGAGTGAATCCCGCAAGAGCTTTTTCGAAATGTGGTGTGGATTTTTCGGGTCCTTTCCAAGTTAAACCGAAGAAAGGGCGCGGTGTTCGGACAGTGAAGATCTACGTTTGTGTTTTCGTATGTTTTAGTACTAAGGCAGTGCATTTAGAACAAGTTGGAGACATGACGACAGATTCCTTCATAGCAGCTCTAAAACGATTCATTGCTAGACGTGGAAGACCGGAGGAAATGTATAGTGATTGCGGCACTAATTTTATAGGTGCCAACAGACAACTAAAATCATATCGTTCGGACCAAAGGGTAGCTAGATACTTAACAGAGGAAGAAATTAAGTGGAATTTCAATCCGCCTTCTGCACCGCACTTTGGTGGACTGTGGGAAGCCACAGTAAAGGCTATGAAATATCATATAAGAAGAGCAATTGGTTCTCAAGTTCTAACTTTTGAAGAATTTGCTACTTATCTAGCAGAAGTCGAGGCGTGTCTGAACTCAAGACATTAGTAGCGATTTCAAGTGATCCAGATGATTTTTCCGTGATTACACCGGGTCATTTTTTAATAGGAACATCATTAAAGGCTATTCCGGAACCAAATGTGTGCGACGAGACTCTAACACTTCGCAATCGTTGGAAACTAGTTCAGCAAATGTCGCAGTCCTTCTGGAGAAAATGGTCTAAGGACTATTTGACTCAACTGCAAGTTCGCACAAAATGGCATCGTGCTTCAGCAAATATTAAAGTAAACGACTTAGTAATCATTAAGAAAGATAACACACCTTCCTTAAAATGGAAACTGGGACGTATCACCGAAATTTACCCAGGTAATGATTACAGAGTGCGTGTTGTAAAAGTAAAAAACTGCTGATAGTGAATTCAAGAGACCCATTCACAAACTGTGTGTGTTACCAATGGACAGTTAAGTATCGTAAAAAATCTTGAACTTTAACTTGATATTCATCGATATTCATTTGAATTTTTGAAGTTTTAATGTTATTGTACATATTTATGTTATTAATTTTGTGTAATTCATTTTTTACATTTATATGTTGTTTAGGCTTAGTTACTCATTTATAAGCAAGAACTATTTAATCTAGAAATTATATGTTTACTAAGAATAATGTTAAGTAATAATTTCATGTAAGAGGTAGTTTGATGTCCTGAACAGTCATCCGTGGGGAGTATGTTGAGATCTCCCATAGAGGGCGTTGTAGCACCCCTCAACTGTGTGAGAAAAGTTTCGATTTGAGAGAGAGTTGGTGTGGGTTTTGAGAATGTAGTGTGAAGAGCTGTGTAACGCGTATTTGCTATGTAACTGTACTATGTAATATAATGTAATTAAATGTATTTATTTAAAATGTGGAGCAATTTTGAAGGAGCATACTTCACATAATATGATAATTAAACTCCCTCCTCTCATTCTGCAGTTTCATTTATTATAATACTCGATTATAAGATCCTAGCAAATTTTAGAATTAAAATTTTTCAAAAAACGGGAGGGTTTAATTTTCGAGTGTTTACGGTTTTTCTCAGTCATGTTGAGAATTAATTATAACGTGTCAAACTAAAGTTAAAGTAAAACAGAGCACAGTATGTGATAAAATTAGATTAATTTTAAAAGAGTTTACTATTTAAAAATGAAGTTAAGGGGGTCAAAAATTTAAATTAAATTTTTTATCTTATATACATTTAATAGAAATGCATTTTAAATCGCACACTCAATTTATTATATTTATTTGCATGATATGCTTCGAACAATTGATGGTTCTTGAATGACCACTAACAGTTCGAGCCAGACCAGAATAACTGATCTACTTCTGCTCCGATCGCATTGCACGCGAATATTTTTTATGAACTCGTGTCAAATAAGTATTGATTCATCAAAGATACATTTTTCAAATGAGCTTGTGTCAAAATCACTGAAGAAATCCATGAAATCAGGGAGCAGCAATTACGGAATATTTTGAAAACGCTGAAAAAACAGCTTTCGAGATGCATCGATAGCGGTCATACTAAACAAAATATGAAATGTGAACTACATTGCATTAAAAAGCTGTAGAAATAAAGTTGCTTTTACATGCAGCGTTTGCTGTGTTACTACCATGTACACTTCTAAAGTTATTAACGTTTGTATTTTCGCATAGCTTTAAAGAAATTTAAGAATACCCTGTATTTCTGTATACCCATTTTTTTCATACACTGATATAGAATTGCTATGTCTAAAAAGCATAAAATTCAGCTTAGTTCTTAAAACACACTTTGGATGTTAAACTTCTTTCAGAAACGTACAAAAATCATCGAATATTTTTCGTTGCAGATTACCAGCTTACATGAAAAAGATTCTTATTGGATAACGCAAATTAATGCAATATTAGAAAAGTCATATTGTATAATGAAGAATAGCATTATTGGCTTTATAGCAGAGATACACAATAATTACCTAGCTTCAACTTTTACAGAGAGTAAGGGACTTATACAAGAGACGTTTTCAGTCCAAAAACTTTTTAGTGAATAAACACAAATTAGTGTCCCCATAACACGTTTTTAACATTTTTAGAACGATGTCTGTCTGTCTTCGTATATCTGTGACAACATTTTCTCCTCTATAACTGTTATACTAAACTTTCAAGAATTTTTGTTTTCTGTACTTAGGCTTTCTGTGTTAATATAAAGAACTGATTAAATTTTTAGTTAAACTGGACAAACGGAAGTGGTACTTTACTTGAAGCCCATAACAGTTTTGCAGCAATCAATATCACATAATGCTGTATAAATAAACAACGTGTCTCACGGTAACCTGTTGTTTTCTGTTTGACAAATAACAATTTCACGAAAATATGTGGTAGACATTTTTTACTGGGCTATTTTGTGTTTCAAATAAAAAGAAAATGACTATGAACCTGTAAAAAAACTGAAGGAAATATACTAATAAAACGCAAATGTAGTCTAGGTTCATTGTAATTTTATTTCAAGTTAGAAGATAAAGAAAAACCCACATTGAAAAAACTAATAATAAACTAATAATAACTAATAATAAAACTAATAATTAAAATAATAATAATAAACATTGAAAAAACTAACTAACACTAAAAAACTAATACAAGAAAATCTAAAATGTAACTGTTAAATCGTTAAACGTCTCATGAAATCAGTACTGCTTTAAGTCATTTGCTTGCTATTGATGAGATATTTTATTATTAATATTCTCTGATTAATTATTAAAACTTGGTGTACATTCTGATTCACAGCATGCCCATCACTATATTGTTTTTCACATGGCGTCAACATATTTCTGTACTTGAAAAGTAGTCTGAGGTATGTCGGTATCACAGAATTATGTTGACCCCAAAAGTGTTTTTACTGTTAGTGCACATATAAGTATGCTTCGTTAGTTTAAAAACTTCATTAATTTCATTTTCTTACTTTTGAGACTTCAAATCAACTTCTTCAAATCTCCTTTAAGTTCTCAGAAGAATAACAGAAAGTTTTTCAACGTGCTTAGATGGATCATACTCTAGAATAAATTCCGGGTATAGAATGAGGGTAAATGTTGAAAAATGTTGATAGCCTTCCTCTTATAAGCTGTTATTATACAAATCGGTTTTAAACAGAAAAGCAGATATTGAGCTCATCATTTCTGATATGTATTTTTCCTTTTCCTTGTAATACGGTATTTAGGTCATAGAATTTTGCAGTGGTATCGGTTAAAAATACCAAGAAATACCAAGTCAGCAAGCCAATCCATGTAATCCCATCTTTGGATAACCTTCAAACAAATCCTGTTAAAACTTTTCCTTGACTCAGCCATTTTACTTCTGCACGTATGCCTACGTAAAGAAATCCTGAGTGCATACTTACCATTGAAATCCTTTATGAACGGTTTAAACCGTTCATAATTATGATGACGTTCAACATTCGATCGCTTTGGACAGCTACTGAAGCACTGAATAATAAACAAACTGCTTTTTGGCCAACGTCTGTAAATAACACTTCTTCCTCCCGTTCGTTGTTGAAATGGTAAGTTTTCTTTCTCTTCGATGGCCCTGGCACGTCACTCATGTCTACAAGTACATCACGAAAATATAGGAAATAATTAAAATGTTCTTTTAATTAACAATCTTGTGTATTTCTACTGAAGTTGTCGTTTTTTCGTTTCATACTTTTTCTAATTTTACGTGAATTCAGCTTGCAGAACACATTTTATATGAAACTTACAGTTTCCAAGAGTATAATTTTTAATAACACTCTGAAAGCGTACGTTTAGTTGAGAGTAACGTAACTGTCTGTTTAAATCTAATTTCTAGAAAGCAGACGAACTCATTAAAAAACAAATTACGCTTCTTACTATGCTTAAATGTTAAATACTCGCCTGATGTAAAGTAAAGGCTTACTAACAAGTTTGTGCACTTTAATATAATAGAATATTTCAAATAAATTAAACTTCCACGTTTTGCTTCCTGATAATTCTTCATGCTCTTCTCCACAAATTCATTCTTTGTCGGCCGAAACGTCATGTTCTCCTGAGGCTTTCCTTGCGACTGGTTATCATGCTAGTCATCTCGATGCCTATTCTTCTTTGCTGCTCGGTTTCTGATCCTCATATATTTTCGCTGTCCATCAGATTTTTCTGGTGGTCCTGAAGAATTCTTCGAAAAATGTTGTTGCTGCTGCTAGCTTTCACAATCTCGGCTGACCTCCTTCTTCTTTCCATGGTCGCAGGATCTTTTGACTTTTCGCCGCACTTCTTCATTTTCAAACGGCCTTTTCCACCGTAGGTTTACATGTAGCCGCTCAGTTATTCCAATACCGTTGCGTTCTTTCGGGCATTCTTAATCACTGGGCTTTTAGCCTTTTATTGCCCTTCTTCGTCAAGCTGCCTTGGCCTTTTATTCGGAAGGTCATGTTTTCTCCTAGGTGCTAGATTTTGGATTTAAATCTTTGATACATTCTTTGGGATTTTTGGTTCATCTGGGACACCGCCACCGCCGTCTATAGTTTTCCTTTTGGAAATTATATTAAATGTCTTCCATTTTCCTTTTTTTTACTTCCCCGGCGAACTTAATTTTGTTGTGCGCGCCTTCTTTAGTTACAGAAGTAGTACTGCGCTCACTGTTGTAACTACCAAATGCGCATAGTTATCAGAAATTACTTGCCTTTCGGAATTACTTTTGCTTGTTTGTTTGCTTTTGAATTCAAATATACATTTATTTAAAAACTAATCTGCAACCATTTTCACTCATGTTCTTCTGAGCATAACAAACGCTTACCCACCTTGAGAAATGACAACATAACCAACGCAAAACAGCTCGCGAGAAAATAGCCTAAGTCGAAGGCTTCCGAATTGAGACTCGAGAACAGGTTTTAAAGTGTTTACTATCTAAAAATACTCAAACTAAATAAACGCTGTTATGGCTTATGCACAAATGAGTAATTATGTATTGCGTATAAATGCATTATAAAATAAATCTGATGTGGAGAGCACCTGACTTGTTTTTACAGCGTATTA